TCCATTTTCCTATAAACTGTCATTACAAAACTAGCTAGATTAGGGATTGTATAGCCGCTCCGAGGAACGTTTGCTATTTCAATTCCCTGCTTGTACTTGGCTTCACGGAGTAATTCGTCCTTTATAATGATCCTCTTCATTCCGGAGCAATGTATGTACTAATGCTTACGAACGTACTCTTGTACTAGTACAGTACATGTACCTGTGTATAAGACAGATCCATAGACAGAGTACGCACGCCGCACGTCTGTGACGTAGGGAATAATGAATATTCATATCGCCACTAATCTTGGTGCCAATATATGCTACCTTATCTACCAGGGGTCCGTTCCTAGAAACCGTCATAAGTCTAACTTCTTGATTAAATCAGCGTTAGTGAGTAACTTGTCCGCTATGTGTTTCACCAAGCCCTCTTTGTCAAGATCAACGACAACATCCTGACTATAAGGAGTTATGACACCTCTGACACTGTCGTATCTCTGTCATAACTATTTAGTCGATGGGCAGCGCCATCACATGTCATTTATTGGGTGGACTATGGCTGGCAAAGAAGGACAATAAATCCTCCAACTATGATTTTTCTACACATTCACTTAAACAGTGGGTTATCGTTTTTTGTATTTGATAATCTTATGAAAATATGCCATGTTTGTATTTAAGGATTTTTCCACTTAAATGAACTGATTATACGCCTTTATTTCCACATTGTAAACTCGTCAAAGGGATATGTATTTTGCCACGGCAGGCAAGTCATAGTTTGAAGTGTATTCTTTAGTTTTCAGAATTTCGGACCCATATTGCTTTCGAGATAAATTCTATCTTCAAATGTGTAAATGACTTTAAAACTTGTTTTTTTCACGTTTCGAATATTGAAGTTCTGTCATTTGATTATTCAAGTGACACCTAAAACATTGGACACAAACTTCATTACATCGTATTTTTCTAAGAATAATATATCGGTGTATTTTTATAAACTATCAAACGAAAATATCCGGGGGGTACCCATCTCAAGAACAAAACTGATTCACCGGTCATGTAATGAAATACTCACAATTATATTTTACAAGTTCTTCTATTGTATAATCTACACAAATTTGGTAGTATATTGCATCTCTTATTTCTTGGTATCATTTTCAATCTTTTTTATTACTAATTCATTTAAATAATTGCATTTTCCCTAATATTAATTTTGTAATAATCCGGTGGTATTGCGACTAAGGCTAAGTCTCGGCTCCTATTCTCGCCGATAGTATCGATCTCATGAGATACTAGCTAGTAAGCTCTTCGTGAAACGGTTTAGGAAGATCAGAGACATCTCCGTAGTTGGCGGATAAAGTTATGACTGTCTTGTCGTTGGTTTCTAGGAACGAGCCCCAGTACCATAATGAGGATCTGAGACATTTAAAAAAAAAAATTATTGGTTTGTCTAAAAAAAATCTTATCTTATCTTAATCCAATAGAAATATAATTTTAGCATTTAGATATATACAGTAGGTCTAGTCTATATTTGTTTTATCATTGTATTATTTTCCATTCAAGTTGGTTGTGGAACATTTTTAGGGATGGTCTAGAGACTCTAGATCTACTGTAGGCATAATTTACAGACACACATCAATATTAATCCGAGTTTGAGTCCATTTAGAAGTTTCAATACATATGTAGCCTTGTAGGACAGAAAGCTAGATTTCTATGCAATCGAAACCAGGCTGACTAGATTAAACGTATTAAAAAGTAGAATTACAAAGTTGTAAATTACGATACTGGTAGGGAGGCCAATGCCCGGGCGTAAGGCTTCTACGCCTGCGATTTGTGGGCTCGTCGTCCAAGTCAGAAAATTACCAGAAAAAAAAAATAAAGACAAAAAATATCTATGGAATAACATATTTAACAACAATAAAATTGTACATTCAAAAACATACCTATAAACACGGATCTGTAATGGTCTTTCACCATTTGTTGACAATCTTGCATATTTTGACGCATTTGAATCCAATAATTTTGCTAGCAGACAAAACATACGCGCACACAAGGGTCCTAGAGGGCGCGGAGGTTAGCTTACTAAAATCCTTCTCAATGACTGAACGTAGAGCCTAAAATTATGGAATCAATTTAATATCAAAGAACTTTTGATAGAGATTAACATATCAGATGTGCACAAATGTCACTTTTAACAACTAGAAAATATAAAGAAAAAAAGATTATATCTTTTTAAATGCAGATTTTTACAAACTGCACATTCAAAGGTAGATAGAGTACAATGTTTCTGTCAATCTCGCGTTGGTTTGAGGCCGATAGCTACAGCCATCTCAAATCGAGAAGAAAAAATGTGAACAGTGATGTCATTGTTCAAGCCCAAAATAGAGGTCTTGTGACATCATAATATGAATATGTATGAGCTCCGGTCCACATCACGCGCCACATCACGCGCCAGACTAATCTCTCGTAGTCTCAGACACAGTACCTTATTCTCAAAGCACTAATATTGAGTGTCGAGCTTGTGCAGTAAATCATGCATGAGAAATGTTAAAAAAGATATTTCAGTAAAAAATGTGTTCGTGAGCAGTCTATACTCCGATTGAGAAGTGGATGAAAGGGGTCGATGAAAGGTCATGATGTAGTGGATGATACATAGTTAGTATTACATATGGCTAAAGAGAGAGAGAGAGATACATGTATAAGTTAAGTACGCATGCGATGCTGATCTCCGAAAAGCGGAGGGACAACAACAGAGAGAAATGCGATATACACTGTACGTACACTGTATGCATGCATATATTAGTATCATTCCTGATTAATGTGTCGATCTCGCTGTGACTTGGATTTTGGAGGTCGTTCTAGTTGATTTGTACACTACAGTAAACTGAAATCATAATACTCATGAGGAAATCAAGTCATTGGAATATTGGAATAACAATCTAAGGTAAATATTAATGAATTAGATCTAGTTCTTTCTTCTTTTTTTTACTCGTGGATCTAGTTGTCGTACGTACATTGATGGTTCTATTTCAACTTCAGCGCAGCAGCGTGTATTGCGGCTCGCATGCCTGGTTCAGAATTCGGTGTGTGCGACCGATTCAAGGCTAGCCGGTGATTATGAATGTACTTTCGCGCGAAGTTTTGAACTTGTTGTCAGGGCATGACACGCCTGTTCCCTCGGGCCTGTCTAATTCTCAACGTAATTTTGGGGACCATGATATTGATTGTTTCTAGGCTTTTACTTACGGCCAGGCGTAGAAGGGAAGGCCTACAAAAGAGCTGGATATCTCCTATTTTATGGAAATTGTGGAGTCGGCAGATGGGTGAGTTGTCTTAGTGAAAGAAAATCCTTTCTTTTAATGTTTGTTTTATTATAAACAAGTAATTAAAAAGTTAGATTTGGGCATTGGCCTTCCTAATTCTGGTTAATTAATTATATTATCAACAAATTATGTTTTCAGTTTTCTTTACTGACAACTGAATTTTTGTATATAATTGAAGATATGGCGTACTGTACGGTATACCGTAAATCTCTGTGTATAAGGCGCACTTTTTTGCCGCCGAAAAAATTTGAAAGTCGGGGGTGCGTCTTATACACAGGTTTGTTTTTTTTAGTTTTGATTTATGGCGCTATGCCTGGCAATGTCTTCTAACTCAGTAATCAGTGTGGTGACTCACCACTCTGAAACTACAACAACACTCAAGTTTGTCTGTCATCTTGGTTTGAAAGTAATCTTTCTAATCGATCTCAATATGTAGTTTATAATAAAACTTCCTCCATTTTTTTTCTATAACAAATGGTGTACCACAAGGTTCTATCCTAGGTACTCCATTGTCAGAAATTTAGAGGATGCTATCCATATCATGCATGACTATTGATATTTGGCATAGAACACAGTGCTTCTGCTAGGTGATGTGAGGAGGCTGGTGTGGGACACTTGGTATCATGAAGCCTTAGACTGTTGTTACTATTATTTTTGACAACTTCAACTGCACCTCGATGTAAAATGAAGGTCCTTCCTCGAGTGGGTTTTCGGCAACAAAACAACAACAACAACAAAACAAAAAACGATTTTTTTTTTTTTTTTTTTTTTTTTTTCCCCCCCCCCCCCAAAATAGGGGTGCGCCTTATACACAGGTGCGCCTTATACACGAAGATTTACGGTATATTCAGCACTGAATGCCATAACCATTACGAACAACAACAGTGATATTGCACTGAGTGACCTCGCAGGCTCCAAGCTGTGTATATAAAGTCAAGGGATCTCAGGGATGTTAGAAAAAATTCTTTGAAATTCAAATCGTGAATCTACTTTCAAACTTGCCGATCAGCCACTTTGTATTCATTGTGTGCATTGTTGTTGCTGCAAATGCGCTGAATCTCCATGTAAAATCATATACACAAATTTGGTCGGAGTGCGTAGCGAGACATGATGGAGGAAAATCATCGGCGGTTTCTTCAGTTTTTCTACATGATTTTGAGCTGTGAATCAATTGGAAATTACAGAACTGAATTATTATGGTCATTTACGGAAATAGTATGATTTTGGAGCATCGCCTTTATAGCAATGATGCCATTATTTTGTTTCTACATTGAGAAGATATGCATTCTGAGATGAGACAATGATGCCATCATTTTATTTATACATTGAGGAGATATGCATTCTGAGATGAGACAATGATGCCATCATTTTGTTTATTCATTGAGAAGATATGCATTCTGAGATGAGACAATGATGCCATCATTTTGTTTATACATTGAGAAGATATGCATTCTGAGATGAGACAATGATGCCATCATTTCGTTTATACATTGAGAAGATATGCATTCTGAGATGAGACAATGATGCCATCATTTTGTTTATACATTGAGAAGATATGCATTCTGAGATGAGACAATGATGCCATCATTTTGTTTATACATTGAGAAGATATGCATTCTGAGATGAGACAATGATGCCATCATTTTGTTTATACATTGAGAAGATATGCATTCTTAGATGAGACAATGATGCCATCATTTTATTTATATTTCCTTCATGTGTGTAGAGAACCTCTGTGAGATAATACCTACTGAAGAAGGACATCAAGAGATACAGTATGCAACCTGCACCGGATGAAGACTTGTACACTATCTTAGAATCATCCTCATCAGCGTCATATCAAGAATTGAAAGCAAACTACAGAAAACTTATTCTAAAGGTACAAAAACACATCATAATAATACGTAATTGTGATGATGGGCTTGATGACAGTGAAGATTGTGACAATGATACTGGTGATAGTAATGACTGCAATGATGATCTGATCAGAGTGAGTATGATTTAGATGAAAATGAAGGTGATGATGTTGGTTATGATGATGTGATGTCCATGATGGTGGTTTTGATGGTGATGTGATAGTCATTTAGATGGTGATGGTGTTATGAAGATAATGATGATGATAATGATAGTGATGGATGATGATTATGATGAAACTGAAGATGATGACAGCACTGGATTTTTGAAACCAAGTCATATTAAGGAGAAGCACTTCTGACATTATTGCCTGTCCTGCAAATGTAAAATGGAATTTAAAATTATCTTTTTGTCCTTTTAAAAAGGAACCCCTTGTTGATCACCTCGGTCACATAAAATCGATAGTTAAATTATTTTGGCACATGTGAATTTAGTTACAATTCTAGATCTCGATATTCAGTTCTGTTAAACTGTAATAATATAATGAAAACCTTAATAGATCCTTCTTTTCATATCTTTGATTCAGTATCATCCAGACAAACTAAATGAAGAGGAGAGAGACGTAAGTTCATTTGAGTTCCAGAGATTAGACCAAGCATGGAAGATCCTGAGTAATCCTGGGCTTAGACATCAATATGACACACAACAAAGAGGTATACACCCTTTCAGCCCTTAACCCTTAAAGGGCCAGAGGAATTCTGCTGCCCCTCCCCCTCTCCCAAGAGGGGGAGGGGCAGCAGTCATGACTTTATCGCCTAGGCTCTTCTGCTGATACCAACAATTATACAGTTTGATTTGTACAGTGTGAAAATGGCTGTGCAGAACTTTCTCTGAATGTACATCAAATAGTTAATTAACAATCATTTCAAAAAAGGAAAAAAAGAAAGAAAATTAATACTGAGATCATGTGGGGGGGGGGGGGAATGGATTCCATCCCCTCCACCTGGCTATAAGAGCACCCATAATGACCAGGACCTTTAAGCTTCTAGGCCTCAAATACTGGAGAGATATTGTTGTTAAGAGGTTTCATATGATTTGTATTTTGTTCCTGAGACGCACCATACCATTGACACTCGCTCTCAGTTCCTAGGACTTGTGGATATTGTGGAACACTTTTCATTCAGATAAAATTTTTGATACAAACCATGACTGAAAACTTGTCTCATAAAATCTCCATTGAGGAACATGTAGATATTAGTGGCACTATTAAGGGTAATACACAATTTTGGGAAATTTTGAAAATTGGATGGACAGTCAATAATTCTTTTCAATTTTGATATATTTGGATGCCTCTGTGGATGTAATATAAGCACTAGAAAATTTAACCCCCAAAACTGCTTTTGAGAAACTGAATAATCAAAAATTTACCAGTGTTCCCGGTAAATTTCAAATATTTCAAATAGCGCCTAAGGCCATTCCATGGTAGCTGCGACCATGAAAATCTCAGAATAGAATTCATTGCATAATTTGATCACTCAAATCGTTTCCTTATTACCTAGATGTATTACATTATTATAATGAATATTCCCTTATATTTTGATTTTTGTGAGGGAAGGGGAAAATTTTAACACAAAATAAGAAGCATTACATTTACAGCCAGTTTGTCATTCTCCTCATAGATATACATGTTCATGTACATGTATTTTTAATAGGAAGGCATGTTAATGTGATAAACTTTTATATTTTTGATTTCAGCTGACCAATTGACGAGTGCTTTAGTCCATGATGAGATAGAGCTACATGAAATGACATGGCATCAAGGTATAATTCAACTTACATTGTATTAGCCACTAGTTTTGTGAGGATTTATTTTCATGAATTTTACGTATTGTTGTAGGATCATGATTTTTTTCAACTGCAGACAAAAATGAGCTGACTTTAGCAGATAAGAACATGTATTGTATAATTGTCAAGAAAAAGAAAATTTCTGAAAATGTCTGTGTCCCTGTCATTTGTGAAAATAAGAGCGCACAAAAATATTGGCTCATACATTGAAAGAAAAAAATTGTTTTTCTACTCTCATCTAATTTTGAATTTTGACATTTTAAACTAAACATGTAGATAGTCATTTTTAATGTGCTGTTCCAAACTGTCCCGTTATATATTTCAATTTCAAAATTGTTTTGCTCTTTACAGTTATTGATATAGTCGGCAATCCTTCGTGCCTTGATAAGAAAATTTGATCATAAATAAGCTCCATACTTCCCCTAGTAATAGCAGTATCTTTATACTGCCTAGCTCATTCTGGTGTATCACACATCCATATTTCCCCCTTCTTACTTATACGAGCAGTTGGACTAATTATTGAAAGAAGTTCCAGATCATTTTAATCTTTCATGCACAGCAACTCCTATTTCTATTCTTAACCTGTACAGTACAAAGCACAGTACAAAGTTTGGTGCTTATTTTAAATCAATGCATTTCACGCATTTCACGCTACATCGCTGCCTTTGTGATTCTGATCTTTCAATATTTGCACATCTTTGAATGAATGATTTTTACTTACCACTGGTAGAACTGGGGGTTACTTGTAGATGCCAAAAAGCAGGAGTAGTATATTACCAGTAGTGGAAAAAGTGGAGGTTGACTGGACAAATAAAACTTGACACTTCTACTAAAGTAGGGTAGCTCAGCTAAAGTGTTCGAAAATGAAGTAAAGTCCCCGTGCAATATAGGTGACTGTAGTAAAAATTGTAAACAAGTCAGCTTCCTCTTAATCGAAGTAGAAAAAAACTAGACAAACAGAATTCTGAGTTATTTGTTTTCACTGGCTGCCTGCCGTAGCAACAAACAGAGTTGACAAAAGACTTAACTCCGCTTCGTTGACAATCATCCATGCACAAAGACTAAAGACTTGATGCATGGCTGATCATCAACGGAACAGAGTTAAGCCTTTTGTCAACTCTGTTTGTTGCTACGGCAGGCAGCAAGTGAAAACGAATCCGATTAAATGTTTATTGCTCTTATTCTTATCTATGACGTTTCTAGTGCCCTTTTTACGACCTAAACTTGCTATGTAGGTAATTTTAGACCCCAAATTGGGTAAAATTTAGCCAATACGATCATACCATACCAATTGTTAATAAATTCAAAAAATTCAAATTCAAACCAATTCAGCTTCAAAAAAAAAAAAATGATGACCGTTAATTAATTAATTAATTAAAAATAACAATGCAGGGGCCGGCTAGTTGTGCGTAATATAACCAACACGAAAATGCAAACAAAAAAGCCTACATCGGCATTGGCTGAAATACGACGTAAAAGGCGCTATTTCGTTTTTTCAGTGGCTTTTTCAAATTATCTAATATTTGTGGTGGTACACAAGTATTAGAAATCATAATATGGTATTTCAGCCGTCTCTGAACCGATTTTTATCAAACAAAGATGATTTTGTCCTTTAACTCTTAAGCTGCCCCCATGCAATTCACCCAGTTCCACAGTGCTAATCCCTATTGTGCCAGCCACTAATCTTCTGTGTGCCAAGTTAATTTAGGGTTGATTCAAGTGCGTGTAGTTTAAATTGTTACTATGTTTGATCCACTATAACATCTCATCTGTATATTGTATTAAAAAGAATTGTACATTAAAGTTGTAGAAAATGTAACCCTCTTTCTGTTAATACCAATATCATTTCATGAATCTGTAATTTTGGTAAAGTAAATAAGCACTATCAGTGAGTTGTCAAACTAATCCGTTGTCTCATTTCCCGCACACAATCTGAGGGGCCATGATCAAAACTGACAAATTTGATGATAAAATATCACAATTTTCTCAGGAAAATCGCGATTTTCAAATTTTCGGGAGCAAAATATTTTAAAACCCCCCCCCTTGAAAAAATCCTGCGTACGCCCCTGCATGGCACGATAAGAGTTAAATTGTATGTTCTTTCAAATTTGACACTCAGTTTTACATTATGTAACAAAAAAAATATTTTGTGTAGCGCCCTATGCAACAGAACTCAGCTATCCCTTTAATCAACATTATGGAAATGCAAGCATTATCTTAAACAAACAGAACTTTGTCATTCCTGGCTCAATTTTGCTGATTGAGGTGTCATATGAAAGGGCAGAAAATGAACTTTCTAGAAATGTGATTTTTCTCTTTGAAATTCAAATAACGCCCGCCAAATGACTTTTTGGTTTCCTCTCTTCAAATTGTTTTAATCCCTCATGCATGAAATATGCATCATATGAGTTGCATCAAATGAAAGAGGAGGATCTAGTTAAGCTTTACAAATATGTGTCATTTATTCATTTTAATAGTGATCAAGTTATGATAAAACATAGATAATTCTCGTTTTCGTTTTTTCAGAGACACACTGTATACTAAAGGTACTATGACACTTGCAGGCCCCTAAAAATGAAAAGGTTAAATTGCAATGGCATTTGAAAGATAATTCTAATTCAGAACTTTCCTCAAAATTCATTTCTTGTATATTATTACCTCAAAAAAAATAGTCAGTCTGTCACTCAATAGTGTCTCACAGTGAAGTCTAGAAAGTAAACGGGTTTCCTTGCATGATTTGAATACTAGGACACTGCTAACGTTAAAATTTCACAGATAGTACATACCGGTATGTGACATATTCATAATTTCGTCAAAGTTCTACAGAATTTGATGTTAGCTGCAAAAGGGATCCACTACCTTTAAACACTTCTACACTGTCATTTGTTATTGGTTATTGCTTGCCCGACATATTGGAGCTGCCCATTTCTTCTAAGTGATTTTCATATTAACATTCCACAATACATTAGGGTATATGTGTGTTATTATCATATTACATACAATAAGTGACATACTTCATACAAACCAAGCGTTTTCGAGTGTACTGCACTGGATGCACAATTAGGTACAAACTGTACCAGGCATTTTACATACACTCTCCACCTTAGGAAAACATATCACCCTGGATGTTTCTTTCTGTTACAAAATATCTGTTTTTACTGAGAAGATCAAGAACCTTTCCGGACAAGTAGGTACAGCGTTGAGATAAAGCTCAATGAGCGAAAATTAAAAAAATTAGCATCATATAGATAGGTAAATATAAACTGTCACTTATATAGCGCATAGTCAATTAAAATTGCTTCATGTGCTTTACATACAGCTCTCCAAGATTACTTAACTACAATTCAAACAAATATGTCTTTAGATTCCGCATTAATGTTCTGTAGATGTTCACGAGCGCGGGTGTTCTGGCAAACTATTCCACAGTAGTGGACCACAAAAGTCTAAGCCTATAACTCCATGAATGTGTAAAATTTAAGTATCTGCACTAGAGCGGAGTTTGTAATTAACTCTAGAACGTGTAAAACTGAAGTATCTGCACTAGAGCGGAGTTAACTCTAGGAACGTTTAAAATTGAAGTATCTGCACTAGAGCGGAGTTTGTAATTTGACCGATGAGGTGAAGACAGTAAAATTAAAATGTTCTCGGCTGCCAATTTGTTTATGCACTTATGATAATACAGAGAATACGCACAGATTTGAACTTTATTGTGGTAAAGGCCCAAGCTAGAATGACTCCACAAACCTCCACTACCACACCCTCTGTCTCATACTCTGCAACGTACACTAGGAAAGCATTCCTAATCCTTTGCATAATTATTAATCTTAGACAACGACCTTACCAAACAAAACATAAGTATGCATACATTAATGAGACAAACAACATTTACCTGCTGTACAACTGTTAGGCAGGCAAAATATATTTTATTCAGTCTCGTAGTACTGAATCTGTACCTTTGACCTTTATTTCAGATGACCTGACCTACATCTATCCATGTAGATGTGGAGGTGACTATACCCTCTCTCGGAATCATGCATCAGGATCAAGGACAGTGAACTGTTCTAACTGCTCGCTATATATCAACGTATCGGTAGAACAGCAACCAGATAAATCTACACAGAATGATATGACAAAGAGATGAAACAAGATCTGAAATGCTCTCCCTTTATCAGAGTAAGAACAACATCTTGAACCAGATGATGTTACAGGAGTAATAGCTAAGAGATGACAAAAGACTCTAGAGCAGGCCTTCTCAACTAGTTTATTAGAAGTGCCAAAACTAAAAGAATTTGTAGTTGAAGTGCCACCCTGTATGGTTGACTGTGCTGCGAGGGAGCGTAGCGACCGATCCGAAAATGGGTGGGGTCCAGGGGAGAAGCCCTAACGGGGGTAGAAGGGGGCAGAGCCCTCTAAAGCTGGTGGATTTAGCGCTTTCTAAAGGCCCAAATGGGGCATGTTTAACACCATTTTCCACTTCATTCCACAATATAATCAATCATAATTTCATATTGATGTGAAAAAATGAGTACATTTCCTGGGTACAATTACACTGGAGGTATATTTATATGTAGTTTTTGTGTGCAATAAACACGGCAAATGTCAAAATAAAGTGAAAATCAAACAAACAAAAACAAGATGTTTCCAGAGATTGGCAATGTTAAAATTGGTATCCCATCGTAAGCGCATCTTATATTTTCACAAGATTGTACCCCTTTCCTTTCTAGTAAGTGCTCCTTTTCCTCATTACAAGTGTCCCCATTTAGAAAAAGCCCCTTCCCCTTCTCATAAATGGGCCTTTTCATTCTCATATGCCCTTTTCACCTCTTGTAAATGACCCTATTCAATTCTGAGAGATACTCGTTTTACTTTGACAAGTGCCCCTTCCCCTCCTGATAAGTGCTCTTTTCATCTCTAATAAATGCCCCCCTTTTTTTAAACACGTCCCCCTTTTCCTTCCTTATGAATGCTCTTTTTCCTTCTTATACATGTAAGTGCCCCCTTTTCAGCTCTGATAAGTACCCATTTGTTTTAACATATGCCTCTTTTTCTTTCTAATAAGAGCCACATCCCCCTTCGCATAAAAGCTCCCTTTCATCTCCGATACATGCCCCTATTAATATATAATTGGTGCCCCTTTTCTCTCAACAAATGCACATTTCCCTTTATTATTAGTGCCCCTTTTTATTCTCATAAGTGCCTCTTTTCATATATGGTCGGTGCCCCTTTCCACCTCTGATAATTACCCTTTTAACAATGATACGTACCCTTTTTCCTTTCTAATAAGGAACTTATCCCTTTTTCATAAATGCCCCTTTTCACCTTTTATAAATGCCCCTATCAAAAAATGATTGGTGCCTCTTTTCCGTCGACAAATGCACATTTCGCATTCTCATAAAAGCCTTTTTATCCCTGGTGAGTGCCTTCCTTTTTTTAGGTGTAAGAGGTGCCCCATTTTCACCTCTGATAATTAGCCTTTGTACTTTGACACGTGCTCCTTTTCTTTTTTAAAATAAATGTCTTATCCCTTTCGATGAGTGTCCCCTTTTCCTCTCATCATTAAACGTGCCCCTAATTTCAAGCGATTACGAGTAATTTCCCCCAAAGCTCGCTCACATTTATAGATGTTATTATTACGTTACCTATCAAAAGTCTTCACAGTCTTCCATTATGAGAATGTGCAGATAACCCCATCAGGATTGGGTTTTTCCTCTTTATAAGATGTAATTTTTCGCACTGCGACCTCACAACTCTTTTAATTTTTCCTCACTTGCAAATGAATTTTCAGACCATGACACCTAACTGCAACATTAAGTATGATGCTTAAGTAATATCTTATATGATGTATAAAGAGAAACAAATATTGAAATCATCCCTGATCATGTAATCACAATATAGGGTATATACCAATGTCTAAAAAATTGTATATTTTCGCTTTAAGATTTCCCTTTGAAGGTGCCCTTTCCCCCAGAAAGTGCCCTGTTTGTTGGTGCCCCCCCTCACTTTGAATGTCGCTCCGCCGCCTCTGGAGAGGGTTATAGGTTTAGATGTAGAGACACTTTGCGCAAGTGGCTCATTCATCACCCCACTCCCATCAACTTTAATTTGTTCAAAAACTTTTCAGGAATATGAAGACAACATTTTACTGTACCGTGTGAGTCAAAAAAAAGTTTACACCTAGAAAATTGCTAATTATTTTTAGAATCATCTATGAACAGTAAATTATTATGCATCTTATGAAAGAGTGTTTTATCCCAAATCATTTGGTACCATATTTGTATGGTATGTGTTCACGCTTGGATGAACAGGTGCCATTGTTTGAGAGAGTGCAAAAATCGACTTGCGCCAAAGTGATGCCTACAGTACGTATTATGTTGGGATTAGCGGAGTGAGAGAATGGATTGAATGTATCAAATGAAATGCATTGCATATGTTTTTTTCAAAGGGCAAAGTCACACACCCACACACACGCACAAATGTCTCCTGATCATCAAAGCGTGAACACATACCACACAAAAATGGTACCAAATGATTTGGGATAAAACACTCTTTCATAAGACATATAAAAGTTTAATGTTCATTGATGTTTTTTTTAATAATTAGCAATTTTCTTGGTGTAAACTTTTTTTTGACTCACACTGTAGTTGGGTCAATTTTAAAATGTGCTGTAAGTCATATGCTAGGATTAAGGTTTAGGGTAAAGTATAGAGACATTTTGTGCTAGTACCGGATTATCCGGGGGGGGGGGGGGGGGCTTTTCTCGAAAGGTTGCGTCGACTAGTCTTTCGCATCAGTCGTTTAAAATGAGGATCTTGGACAGAAGGTAATAGGTGCCAATTTAAGTATATCGAAAATGTATTAAATAGAATGGAGTGGTCTTGATTACAGAGTGGTCTCTTTCGTTATTACTATGTTGATGGGGGCCTGTGTCAAGTTGGCCAACAATACGCGAGCCCACAACAAGCCAGCCCAATAATCTAGCCAACATTAGCAGGATTAGCTATATCGGATAAAGTATTACGCGGGGCTGTAGAAATTGGACTCGCCTGCTTCCACGGCTTCGCGAATCGGCCAAGGATTTTCAGGGGTGTCACGATAATTGCTACGGCGACATTTTGTCCGGGATTTGGGGGTGGGGGGGGGGGGCTCTTTTAAATTTGGACATAATTCAAAACGGGAGGTATAAATAGTGAATATTTGATGGAGTACTTGCCCGAAAACGACAGATTGTTCCTAGGAATCCCTAAGTGGATTTGTGGGAGGACACCTAGTCATTCATCCCCTGATAATAAAAGTGGGACCAGTGGTCAAGTTTTACTAGCCCCACTCTTTTAAATTTGAACATAATTCAAAACGGGAGGTATAAATAGTGAATATTTGATGGAGTACTTGCCCGAAAACGACAGATTGTTCCTAGGAATCCCTAAGTGGATTTGTGGGAGGACACCTAGTCATTCATCCCATGATAGTAAAAGTGGGACCAGTGGTCAAGTTTTACTAGCCCCACTCTTTTAAATTTGAACATAATTAAAAACGGGAGGTATAAATAGTGAATATTTGATGGCGTACTTGCCCGAAAACGACAGATTGTTCCTAGGAATCCCTAAGTGGATTTGTGGGAGGACACCTAGTCATTCAACCCATGATAGTAAAAGTGGGACCAGTGGTCAAGTTTTACTAGCCCCACTCTTTTAAATTTGAAATAATTAAAACGGGAGGTATAAATAGTGAATATTTGATGGCGTACTTGCCCGAAAACAACAGATTGTTCCTAGGAATCCCTTAGTGGAATTGTGGGAGGACACCTAGTCTTTCATCCCATGATAGTAAAAGTGGGACCAGTGGTCAAGTTTTACTAGCCCCACTCTTTTAAATTTGGACATAATTCAAAACGGGAGGTATAAATAGTGAATATTTGATGGCGTACTTGCCTGAGAACGACAGATTGCTCCTGGGAATCCCTTAGTGGAATTGTGGGAGGACACCTAGTCTTTCATCCCATGATAGTAAAAGTGGGACCAGTGGTCAAGTTTTACTAGCCCCACTCTTTTAAATTTGAACATAATTCAAAACGGGAGGTATAAATAGTGAATATTTGATGGCGTACTTGCCCGAGAACGACAGATTGTTCCTAAGAATCCCTAAGTGGATTTGTGGGAGGACACCTAGTCTTTCATCCCATGACAGTAAAAGTGGGACCAGTGGTCAAGTTTTACTAGCCCCACTTTTTTAAATTTGGACATAATTAAAAACGGGAGGTATAAATAGTGAATATTTGATGGCGTACTTGCCCAAAAACGACAGATTGCTCCTGGGAATCCCTTAGTAGAATTGTGGGAGGACACCTAGTCTTTCATCCCATGACAGTAAAAGTAGGACCAGTGGTCAAGTTTTACTAGCCCCACTCTTTTAAATTTGGACATAATTCAAAACGGGAGGTATAAATAGTGAATATTTGATGTCTTACTTGCCCGAGAACGACAGATTGCTCCTGGGAATCCCTTAGTGGAATTTTGGGAGGACACCGAGTCTTTCATCCCATGACAGTAAAAGTGGGACCAGTGGTCAAGTTTTACTAGCCCCACTCTTTTAAATTTGGACATAATTCAAAACGGGAGGTATAAATAGTGAATATTTGATGACGTACTTGCCCGAGAACGACAGATTGCTCCTGGGAATCCCTTAGTGGAATTGTGGGAGGACACCTAGTCTTTCATCCCATGACAGTAAAAGTGGGACCGGTGGTCAAGTTTTACTAGCCCCACTCTTTTAAATTTGGACGTAATTCAAAACGGGAGGTATAAATAGTGAATATTTGATGACGTACTTGCCCGAGAACGACAGATTGCTCCTGGGAATCCCTTAGTGGAATTGTGGGAGGACACCTAGTCTTTCATCCCATGACAGTAAAAGTGGGACCGGTGGTCAAGTTTTACTAGCCCCACTCTTTTAAATTTGGACGTAATTCAAAACGGGAGGTATAAATAGTGAATATTTGATGACGTACTTGCCCGAGAACGACAGATTGCTCCTGGGAATCCCTTAGTGGAATTGTGGGAGGACACCTAGTCTTTTATCCCATGACAGTAAAAGTGGGACCGGTGCTCAAGTTTTACTAGCCCCACTCTTTTAAATTTGGACGTAATTCAAAACGGGAGGTATAAATAGTGAATATTTGATGACGTACTTGCCCGAGAACGACAGATTGCTCCTGGGAATCCCTTAGGGGAATTGTGGGAGGACACCTAGTCTTTCATCCCATGACAGTAAAAGTGGGACCGGT